ATACATTCTTGGTAAAACATTGTTTTATACTAGCAAAGAGAGAAAGGCATTGAGGATTTAAAGTACAAAGTGCTACTGTACAAATAGTATTGTTATACACATTAAACTGTGTTTAAAAGATTCAGAGATGCACTGATGCATTATATAAACTTCGTATCCACTTGTCCTGCTGTGCTGCCATCCTTTTATATGCAATAAAGAGCACATGGCTGGATGCATGTGCACGTGTGTGTATGTGAGGAGATAGAGAGTTTGTAATGTAAACAGAGTCCTGAAAAAATTAAAGATAATTAAATGTTAATTGATGTGAAGTTGGCTGTACTTAACATGGTTATGTCAGTCTGAAAGAAAAAAAAAAAATGAATTGGCCTGATTTAAGATCAGAGATTCCCACATTGGCCATGTTGTGAAGAGTCCATCTACAAAAGTAAAACAATGACTTGCTAGATGAAGCTTTGGAGACAAGTGTTGATATAGAAGTTTCCTTGTATTATTTTCAATGTATTTCCTGCTTGCTTTAATCACCAGTTTTTGAGCTGAGGGCCAGAAAATTATTTTTAGGAAGTATGCTGTGGAATCAAATCCTTTGACATGTGAAATTCGCCTTCAAGTTGCTCAAAGGCTAGGAACAGAAATGACACAAACTGGTATAACTGATCAGAAACTGGTTCAAATCTGTAACACAACAGAAGTTCAGTACATATAAACTGCTTTCAAAATGCCTGAAACCAGTTTAAGATAAACCTGGATGGATGTAGTTTCAGACTTAACTGATTTAGGTAAATCTGCTTATTGAGCTTCTGTTCTAGATCCCCTCCAGATTCAAGTTACCTCACAGTCCACCAGCATCTCAGGATGCTTTGCACTTTCCCCATAACCCCCTCCCCCTTGCAAGTAGGTGGGTTAGCCTTAACCCAAGCTGTCAGTTTCAGCCGAGCAGGGAAAGCTCGCTCTAATGCCCCCCCTGTTTCTGGCCTGCGCCACTGCAGGCTTGTGGCTGCATTACTGGAATAAGAAATGAGTGTCTGTTCACTTGCTTATCAGTTCAATCTACGCAGCTTAGACTAACTTGCAAAGATTGAATCGGTTCAGCCTCAGGTTTTTTGATCATCTGTACTTAGCCAAAATGTTCTTCATTCCAATTAACAACAAAATGTGCCTGAAACTAATCATGTGTGTAACTGCTTCTTAACACAAGTTGGGAGACAGGCACTATATCTGGCCTCAAATAGCAGTCATAAAGAAAATGAGTATAAGCTGAGTCTGCTTTGGTTTTACTCGTGCTCATGTGCCCTTAAATTTAGGATGTGCTCATTTGAAAAGTTTTAAAATCAGAGCAGTGAAGGAAAGAGAGAGCTGAAATCCAAATAAATTCTGACTAGAGAGTTAATAAGCTTTCCAACAATATTTGGATACTTCAAAAACATGAAACAAATCTTCCCCCCTTTTCTACTATGCATATTTTTATATTTTGGCCTTTAACTGTTAGACATTTTTTAATGTCCCTGATTAACTTAGACTGGCTTGGTACCTATGGTCAATTGTTTCTTTCTATCCGGGTACAAAGGTAATAAACCCAGGATTGTTCTGTAAGTCTGTCAACAACTTTTAATACCACGGATCTTGATCTAGTTATTCATCTGTGAATGTCTGTTGGAACTGACCAGAACAGACTATGAATGGACTCACTTCTTCCTCTTCAAAAGATCTCAGAGCATAGTTTTGGTCAGCTTTTCCTCATCCCTGGGGGCTTTTGCATGTGAAGCTTTATAAGTTTTCTTATCTGTGTAGAGAGGGATATTTTGAAATAACTTTGGCTGCAGCAGCAGCAGCAGCAACTACTGCACCCTACTGACAAGACTCAGCTTTCTTCATTAAATTCAGTACATATCTGAACATGTACATGAAAGCAAACCATTTATTATTTCAACCTATGCAATTTTGAAGTGAAGTTGTTTTTATTGTCTGGGACTAACATTCTATTTAGGTACAACAGTCAGAGAGCCTGCTTGTATCATCTATTGCGAGTGTGATATATCATCACTTTTCACTAACATGGTGGGTAGCCTTGCATTCGAGTTACCTTCAGTACGGCTCCTACATAGAGTGGGCCAAAAGTTTTTGTACAAAGCTCTGGATTTTTTTTTTTGGCAAATTATACAGATTTAGCAGAACTCAATATGTCATGAAGACTCACCAATTTTGCTACATTTTTCATTTGGAAAAAAATGACTATCCCCTCACAAACAGACAGTTCCAATATATTTTTAAAATGAAATATTGCAGTATCTCAGTTGTAAATTATTTGTTGCTGCAATAACATTCCTTTGTTTCATTTTTTAAAAAGAAAATAAAAGGCTCAAAATCAAAACAAAAAGTTTTCATTTTGTTGAAAAAAAAGTTGCAATCAGTGTCAAAAATTCAAAATTTGTTTCTTCAAAAATTATGAAGCTGACTGCAGCTTCCCCCACCCCTCACTGGGGCAGACAGACCATGCCACGGAAGGAACAATCAGGGACTTTAAGTCCCCAAATCAGGTAATCTCTCTCACCCTCCGCTCTCGGTACCCCTCCCACCCTCTCTCTCCATGCTCAGCCGCACATCCCTTTCCATCCCCTTCCCTACTGCTTCTGTGGTTCCAGGTGTGGGGGGCATTCCAGAGCCACTCCTGTCCTGCATCAGACAAGCTGCAAAGGAGTGGGGGCGGGGGATGAGACTGCAGCCCCCCCACCGCCCCCCACTCTGTACCTAGGTTTAAAGCCCTCTCTATCAAGAGTCTCTTTCTTTGTGGTACAGTCCTCTTTGTAGCCTATTGCAGCTTGAGACTTGTGTCCTTCATGGCATGAACTTAGACCAAATGTATTTATTTCATTTTTCCATGTGAAATATGTAACTGCTGTTTTTATTTTGCTAGAAGAAAACCTAACCTGCCATGCTAGTAGTCACTAGAGAGGTTAGTTAAATAATGTCCCTCGACTACCAACCAGGCCAAGGAGGTAGGTTCCACATACTCAAGAAAGAAATGACAGACTACAGGTTGAACATAGCAAAATGTAAAAAGATGACACAATCAAAAACGGTATAGTGTCCTACTCTGAGAAAGCAAGACTAACCATCATTATTCTTGCATACGTTTGCTTAGAACTTCCCTTTTACGTATCTGCTTTTAGTTTCAATATGAAGGTGGCTACTTCACACTATGGCCAAATCTATATCACTTTGCTACAGAGCTTTGGACTTTCATAAATACAGAAGCCCCACATTTTTTGCTCCTATTCTGTATGCCAGGGCAGAGTAGACAGTTTAGAGGGGTTCTTCAGTATGTACCCTAGTGCTGCTCTGATTCTTTCTGCTCCAGGAATGGTATATATGAATGTGGGGTATTCAGGACCATCTACATTGAATAACTGGAGGACTATGGTGCCCACAGAGAAGTAGTAAATTGGCAGGACTTTTTTCTCAGCAGTGGTTCCAGAAGCAAGACAGTATACACATTGCCTAGCTCACTTAAAGTTAAATCTCTTTAGTCCCTTAGAGTTTAATCTTTTTGATTTCTAGGTTTTGATGTTTATTGGTATCCAGGTTGTCATTCAATTAGCACGTAGTAAGTCAATTTATTACTGTTGAGATAGCCATAATCAAAGGCATAATTCAAGTAAAACATGAAATAGATTAAAATCAATTCATCAACTAAATATGAGCTTCTATATAATAGAAAAAGTATACTGTTTCAGGTCTGGTGTTGTGATTAGCTTAATTGTCTTTCTGGTTACACTTCAATAATTTACTATCTCAGTTTCAGACACAATAAAAGCTTATGAGGAAAGACATCTGCTTCAACTTAGATTGTTTTGGCATCCCATTCAAAAAGGTATGTTCATTTACCTACTATAAGATTTGACAAAACAAATTAGAGTTACTGTAGAGAATCTCTCATCATTCTCAGTCATTAGACTTCTACAATAATATTTACCTTTCACAAGTTATTTAGGGTTATGAATTTTTCTGAATTTCTTTTTGGATCCATCTTTTCTGTTTACTGAAACCAATATAAACTTAGAGAAACCACCTAATTTCTGAGAACTCTTTTCTTTATTAGTTAGAAGGAAAGAAGATGTTACAAGATTTTTTTTAAAAGACAACAGTAAGCAATAGCTGAAGAACAACTTTTATTTTGAAGGACTCTAATCTACATAAGCAGTCCATGAAATGTATAATTCTGTTAAATTCACTTGAACTTAAAGCTATATAACATAGTTACAAGTATGGAAAAAAGGGTTGGGATATTAAAAATGGACTCCCCCCGCACAAGTAAGGAGCAGATTGGGATCCAATACCTGTAACCCTTCTGCCGAGCACCAGTTGGCAGCAACAAGGACCGGGTTCAATTTTGGGGTCTAAATATATTATAACTTGTCTCGAGCTCCACCCAGACCACCTGGGAAACACTATATAAATTAGTAGGGTGTCCCACACAAACAACCCCCCCTCCTCGCAAGCATTGTAAACACAGAGGATAAATTTATTACAAAAAACAAAGGCAAAGAAAACAAAGGAAAACACTAAATACAATTTAAAACACTACCAATTACAAGGCATAGTTCATAGTTTGTACCTTCTTGGGGAGGCTTCACCCATGCCAGGCAGTCTGGGACTTGGGGCTCACCCAGAAGGCAATTCCAGGGGCTTGCACCCTTATACCTGCTCTTCACCAATGGGCTAGGGAGGGGGCTTCACCTTTGGGGTCCTTTGGGCTGCACCTTGGGTTTTCTGGGCTGTGGGAAGCTGCTTGAGAGCATGGGTCCCTCTGTGTTGCAAGAGGCCCCTTGTTGCTCTTTGTGACACTACAGTATAGAGTGATCCACACTTCCATGTGGCAGCCTTGAGGGGTTAACTGCGGCTTTTGTCCATATACTGCACCCCTACAGTCCTAGTCCCAGTCCCAGCTCTGCTGGGCAGACACTGCAAAAAGAAAACTTTGAAGAAATGGTCATGCCTACCTCACTGGGCCTGAACTAGGCAGCATATGTCAGCCAGGCCTATACTGCATTCCTCCAGACCTGGGAAGTACCAGTCACCCATACTATCCAGGCAGATAGCTGTGGTGGAAGGGTTGATGCTTATATACAGGTAACTGCAAGCAGCTGGAGATAGTTAGGCCACTGGCAGCCAGGCCCACACAAGTAATTAGTGCCAGCTGTCAGCTAATTGGTCTCGCTGCTTCCCTGACTCCTAGCGCACATGCCTCTCTGTCACTTCTTCCCTGATGCATCCTTTTTCTTCTTTCTCCCTCTCACCTTTCCTTACACTGGAAACAGCAACTCTGGTCAGTTAAGTTAAAGTGAACAGGGCAACAGGAAATACACCTTGAAGCTTTACCACATAACACTGAATTTCACAACAGTTGTGAATTTCACAACTACCTAGTCTACAAGCCAGGTCAGTCAGTGAAATAGAGGTCTTTTCTCACGATGAACTGATATTTATGTTTAATCTGTTCAATTTCTAGAGTAAAGCTCCAAGGGTGTCTGTAGACATGCCGGGAGGCTGCTCCAATGTGTTGTAATTACAGAGCATCAGAGCAGACTCCATTAATTGAGTCTGCTACAACATGCGCATTAGCGCACTCCAGCCGCCCTCTGCGGCTCATGCATCAGTGTCCCTGTGCTTCAAAATGGCAGCAGGGGCACTTTAACTAAAGCTCAGTCAATGACAATTTATCACATGACTGACAGTCGTTTCTATCAATCAACACCTAAATTAGTGCAAATTTTGGGAGCTATGTTTACTGAATGCCTTATCTTACAGGGTTTCTTCTTCTTTCAAATGTGATTTTGCCTTAGATGCGACAAATATAAGCTTTGTTTTAATATTGAATATTGCTTTATTCAACACAGTTATGAAGCACTCTATTGAACCCTACTGTTACAAGGCATGATCTTTCATAGAATTTGCTGAGTTCAAAAATTTCAAAATGGGGAGGAATTTAAATAGGTGGCCTGATTCTCAAAATGGCTGAAAGCTTACTAATTCGATTAATGAAAATATGAACTATTAAGGCTCAGTCCTTTTGAAAATCATAACACATTTTTGCTTATATTATGGCTGAACTTTATCTTGTTCAAGTAAGATGGCCCCACTGTGCAAAGTGTTTCTAGAAATACAAAACAGAAAGAAAATCTTTGCCACAAGGAGCTCACTATCCAAACACAGAACAAGAAACAACAGATGCAGAGAGATCAATAAACAAGTTGCTTAAATATGGAGTCTAGCAGTTTAGATATTCAGCTTTGACAGTCTGGGTCTAAAATCCTCAGTCATTTAGATAAAATAGGGAAAGTATGGGTAAAAAAATTCATTTGTGGTTAATACACATTACAAACCACTCATCTTGCAAAGTCACATTTCCAGTTAGCTTACTTCCATTTTATAACTTCCTCTGCCCTCTGACAAATGTGAGGCCCTATCACATTTGTCCTACTATATATACTGTTTTAGTGTGAAAGTGAGCTTCCACATTCACACTTCTATCACACTACAAAAGTGGGCTATGTGTCACAACAATGGCAGATCTGTGACAAAAAAGTTGCTGTTTTAAACACCAACTTAGTTGTGGGAAACTTTTCCAGGATAATTTAATGTATCCCAGTATCCCAGCCAGCAAGCTGTCAGGAAACCCCCAGCCATTGCCAACAGTTGGAAACATCTGAGACATCAAAAGCAGCCAGGAGTGGTCGAAGAAGTCTCTACCCATCCAATGTTTGATGGCAACCCTAGCTTGATGGCAACCCTGTCACTGTAACTGCTAGGTGGCAATGGTAATTGGTTTGCCATGGCAGAGGAACTGATTGGATAGCAGACTAACTGCCTGATAAGCTTTTGCTGTCCCAGGCAGTTTCTTAGCTCCTCTGAGGGCAGGGGAGCTAAGGAGAGCTCCCCCTGGCTAGAGAGCATGCCTTTGCAGTAACTTCATTGGGCTCTACCCAGAGAGCTGTGGAGGTGCGGATGCCCATATCATGATCTATTTTTGTAGTTCTACAAACTAGCATTACAAAAATAATGTGCATCTAGGGCCCAAGCTTTTCTTTACATTACTGATAATATTTATATCGGCTATGCAACAGGTACCACCTGTTAGTTCACCTCTTAATTTGATGCAGTCTTCACAAAAACATGTAAAGTATTTTAGGCTAAATTTCATAGAGTTTTATTTTTATAGAATAAAATAATCACACTTGATCACTTGGTAAAGATCTCTGAATTCTACTGTTTGTGTAAATTCAAAGTCAGTGCTGATGAAATTGGTATATGAAGCATTCCAAAAAGCACACTTCAAAATTATTTTTGTTATGACCACTAACCTTGAAATGTACCTGCCAATTTTCAGCCAGTCAGTGTGAACACAGTAAACAGACCAGTATGAATAGAACCATATGTTATTGTTAAAGCATCGAGCATGTCTTCCAAAGATGACAAGGTAGAAATGTCTCACCACATATTTCAAAGCAGCAAAACAGATTATTTAGTTTAGGAACAATATTGTAGTTGTATCGTGTATTTTGATGACCCCAGGCACTTAGGTATTTATATGGAGCAATATAAAGAAGAGGAAAATTAGTGTCTGGGAGTCTATACATGGTGAATAAAAGGTTTTTTTTCCAATGAAAAATACTTTAAAAATGCAAATAAAGGCTAACTGCAGACATTTGAGGAGGTTAGATTGAATTAAAAATAGCCATCCGATCTAAGGTAAGCCGGGATGGGAGGCTAGTGGAGAGGATTGAGGGGGGCAAGCAGGCTCAGGAAGGGAAATAGGGGATCTGTGGGGAGGGCCAAGCATGATCCACAGGAGGGATTAAGGGGGAAGGCAGCATCCACAGAGGGAATCGGGGGAGCAGGTGGGGTCTGATGGGGTACAGGAGGGTTTGGCGAGATAAAGGGAGCATGTGGGCAGTGAACCTATACCCCCGTTCCTCCCACCCTCCTCCCATCAAGACTTACTTCCTTGGCTCCCAGCATTGGCAAACACTTATAAAACTGGCACCAGGACCAGCTTGCAGAATGCGGGGTTCAGG